GACCTCCTCCATGTCACCCTCGCACCGACGACCAACTCGCCGCTAACTATAGTAATAAGAACGTCATCCTACCACAATTCCTAAACTTAACATTAAGCAGTACTTAGGGTGTAAGATTAGCACTATGCAAACCTTGAAGTACGAGTCACTTCCGTATGGAACACATTGACTAGTACTATTTCCCACAAAAGGAGACCCGTATCGTTTGAATGTTTGGAGGAATACATAAACACGGAGATTTATAATACATCAGAATAAATGCAGTGTAATTTTGCTTGTCTCTTGTTTCTATGGTTTGAGTTGAACTCAGTACATTGTTACCTAATTTATTAGTCACTCAGCATCTTACGCATCTCTCATCTTCATTACGTAACTCCCTTACCATTGTATGCATACATTTATTTTGTTTAATCTTGAACTGCCTGTGTAAAAACTATATAAGCGCAATTATCTGAGCACTGTTCACTAATTGCTGAACCTTCTGTCAACTGACATCATGAAAAATTTGCAAGTATGTTAAATCCTTTCTGTACATAAACCTCATAATTTATTTAGGCTGTAAGCAGCTGTGCTGATGAGAAGCCAACGAAATAAGCAATGATGGTACCATATTATTCTGCACAAGCCACCACTGTTGTTCTTGCTTTATTCAAATTCATTAAGGGGAATAAATGCATGAAAATACATCAGAAAGTGAATGAGAAGGGGTGAAATCTCAACATCATCACAATGCTCGAGAAAACGATCGAATCAAAGAACCGTCTGTGGATAGCCAGCTTGAAATTTGTCTCAACAACAATGCTTAATAATTTGAGATAATTAAATTCTCCACAATGTCGATGGTCAGTTATGAATTAGCCATTCAACTTCAAATGAAAGTCAATTACACAATGCGAAGAGGAATGCGAAAATATGTAAACATTTTCTCATGCACAGATAGACAAATAAATAAACAACCGAAGGAACGAACAATAAAGAAAATAAATAAATAGTTTGATGTTTACATTGGAAAAAAATAATACGTGACTGACATTATGAACTATTGTTTGTAATTTAAAACACTGTGTAGAAAATACAAACATATGAACTTCATATTTGTATTGCGAAAAATATGCCGACGAGGATTAAACTAATAAGACTCATTCACGCACACACACACACAGACACACTTACTCAAGTCAACACAAATACAAATCAGGTAAAATCTGACAAATCTGACAAATTCATAAAATTGATAAAAATCGTCTGGTTGTATAGGTCTGAGATGAAATTACCTGGATTGTTATCGAGTAATTAATTAATTTAATTTTATTATAGCTTGATTCCACACAGTATTTTTGATACAAGTATGGAATTTTCAGCATGTGATATCGGTAGCACAAATTTAGCAGGTCGACCATGGATATCAGGTGTGCGTCGGCCTGGGATCGAACCCCAAACTGTGTGCATGGTCGGCGAGCGTCCTAACCGTTGTGCCACCAATATTTCGATGAAAATATATTAGAGTGCAGAATGCGAATAAAAATAGAAACCTAACAAAAGGTGACTTGGAGTTAATTTCAAGTGGTGATATGAGATCCAAATCAAGCGGTGAAACGCCTTGTTAGTGAGTAATTGTCGAATCCTCACATTATAACTATTCCACTGGTAGAGGAGCATTAACATACCTAACATTTGGTAAACATGAGGTGTAGATGCTTCCCTGTAGTATGATGAAACTACTTATTTGAATCTTATTTTATATAGCTTAGACTAGAAGCTTCATGCCGTTTCATAGCTCAAAGATATACCCATGAACATGCGTATTCGTGGAATTCTCAGAATATATCATAGTGACAGATTACTAAGAAATATATATATATATATTTGAAACGGTAGACACGTGTTAACGACTGGAAATGTTAAAACACTGTTATCTGTAGATTCCATCACCATCTGTTGTAAAACACTGCGTGTTAATTCTAACACATAATATTCAATCCACTGACCGAAATCAGCATGTGCGATTGAAAGACACTTATCATGTGGTTGGAAAGATATCTAGAAGATCAGATATCATGCAACATCTCGGGAAACTGTTCATAGGAATAATTTTGAGATACGAAAGTTTTTCTTCTATCAAGCGAAAATAAGACCAACAGGAATATATATTCATTGGAGTTAAGCATTCCAGTGAAATGCAGAATTTAATATTGATCTCATGAGAGAGCACACTAACCAGAGTGTAATGCCAGGTTGCTCTCCGATATCTTTTTTTTTACTTTGAAGAATCTAATTCTCTTTACATACTACAGGCGGAGATAATCAAATGGCATAATTACAATGATAATAGTGGTCTATAAGAATATGAATGTGAAATTGAATTGAGTGGAAATATCAACAACAGTATAGGAATAGAAAAACATAGCGCAGTTTATCTTGACACACGTCATTAGATGTTAATGCGCTGGCTCACACTTTCTCAGCAGTTGAAATGCGAGTATGCCAAAAAAGCCGTGGCAGACTTTTCATACCTAGTCGACCGAGCCTACAGTTTCTATACTTGCTTCTAGTTCAATCTGGTGAGATAGATGCAAGGAGACAGTTGTGCATAGAGAGAATGCTAAGAGGCCGACATGATAATATTCGCTAGTTTCTTGCATGACTTCATGTGTCTATTTACAACAGTTTAACATGTTGATTTTCGACATTCCACTCGCTCTACCTACAGCTTTTATTGCTTTATCATTGTAACGAAGTATTTCTGAAATAGTCGAGGAAGGATTAAGGCGGTAGCGGGGTGAGTGAAGGAGAATAGGCAGATTGCAAAAATTCACAGACATTAGAAGTGAACACTGAGTGATACCAGATGGCGTTAATGTCCTTACGTGGAGTGCTAAGTGAGATATCTTTCTGGAAGCTAGAATGATGTGGGAAGACCAGGGAAGATGACAGGAAATGTACAGCCTGAGATGGTAATCGTTCGACTTAGTCTCAACTTCAATGTCATCTGTTATACAGGAATCATGGTAGCGAGCGAGTTCATGTTGGTCGAGCTTGTGTGTGAAAGTGAAGTGAACAATCTGATAATAAGTTAATTATTGGATGGTGACTAGCAGTGGAATCCAGGACGCGCATTAAGCCTTAGTTGGACTCCTCACCTGCATGTAATCCTGCATTCCGCAGTGAGCGATGATGTTCCAATCGAGGATCTAACCTAGTGCCCACAGTTTAAAACGCCAAAGCGTTATCCTACAGGTCCCATTTGATCCATGAGATTCACCTCTAGTGCAACGGGTCATATTAATTATTTAATTGAATTCTAGATTTTCCCGTCGTTTTATTGGATCGAAGTGCTCGGTCTCAGGTTGACATGTCGGCTTCTTGTGCAGATGCTTCGACGATGTCTGGGCATGTTAACTTGTTATTACATGCCCAGTTTTGTCCCTCCAGATTGATACATTTCACAAAGTGTGATATTGAATGTTGATAAGTGGAGTATTTCGAAGAAAATTACAGAGATGTGTGGTGAAAGAGGAATAATATGATGGACATTCAAACTTGTACTTGTCAGATGAGTAGTTAGAGTCACCAGGAATCACTTTAAGCATTTTCTTTGCTGTCCCACATAAGCGAGGCGATTCCGAGAATTTGTGGTGATGGATACATAATCCTGAAGTCATAGCCTCCCTTGCCTAGTTATACAATCAGATACTTCAAAACTCATCTGTTGGAAACACAATTTGCCTCGCATGGGACACCATAAAATGCACTAATTAGACAGTGGAGAGTAACCATGTTATGTCTCCTAGATATGAACTCCGACTGAAATCCTTTAACTTTGGGAAACATATCACATGATTATTATCGCTAATGAGGACTGTTTACAAGTTTGATGTTTTAGTAGATGTATGTTCTTAAGTATTCTATAACAAAGAGGATATCAGCACGCTTGTTTTTCTAAGGCCATACAACTGGAGGCACAAATATTCTCGTAACTGCACATTGCATGTGTTATCAGGTGCTTCATTCAGTACAGCTCACAAATGATCCGTTTCGGATGGCTGGCACATAAGTGGTCGAGGTTCGATTCTCGACCAACGCAGTCTGAAACCTGAACTAGCCAGTAGTATGCCAACAAAAGAGGGAAGTCTGGGCGTGGGACTACCAACCTCATCTCGTGAATCCACAAGAGCTGTCGAAATTTTGAAGCTCAATGTTTGAGGTTTTATGTTTTAGTTGGAAAGCACAGGAATGAGAGAAAAGAAATATATTCCGTGTTACGTTATACACTAACTAGGCTGATATTCTTATTATCGCATCACATTGACCGACATTCCAGTGAGTATTCCTGCCTAAAATTTGATGAAAATAGCGCTGCCATTCACGCCAATCTCTCTGAGATTCTTGGTCGAATATTTTCCAGATGCATTTGCACATAGCTTCCAGTAAAACATCAATTTTCTCAAACTTTTCAGTGAAAAGTGACTTTGTGTAGAGACGAGTGTGTGTGTGACAAGCAAGAATGTAAAATTGTAAGAGATATAACTAGTCATCTCTTGTTTCTACAATGTATCATTATAGCACAATAGTGGAGACTGTGTTCGTAGTAGTACCGGTAGTGTTAGAAAAATGTAGGTACCACAAGATCATTTTCGAAATGTTGTATTCACATGATAAGCAAGTTCTTTGTGCGAGTTAGTAGAGTGTGCATGAATGTCAACTTCTCATCAGCCTAACACGATGTGCCAGAATGACACATATTATCCAATCACATGTGAAAAACAATAATGATAATAATAATAATCAGACTACTTAGTAATACGTTTGATTTCTACAAGAAGATTGGATAAACAATAACACAAAACGATGTACAGACGAAATGAAATTTTCTGAGCAACTGACATTCACACTGAAATAAACAAATGAACACAGGCGTTGTGTGAACACTATGGGCTGGAAAAATGTATAAAAGGCGAATACTGGTTTGTGTAGTCTGTGGTGAGATTAATCAGAGCAAAATGAAATCAGTCGTGATTGTTTCACTCGTGATGTGTTTGATTTTTGTCCAGACTGTGTAAGTTATATCATTACTACTTTATTATTATCATAATGATTATTATGACTGTTCATTCACTGAGTCGTCCATGAAACATACGGCTTTGTCAGCACACCTCCATTCCATCCACTGTTGTCAAATCCAAATGGCTCCACGACATTCCACAGCTTTTATTTCCTCCTCAGGTGATCGTCTCCGTGTCATACTGCGATCCACAAACATCGCTTGCTTCTCGATGAGGTTCCAATTGACAAATGTCATTCATCTGTCTCCTCGATTCATGTCCAATCCATCTTCATTCCCTTCTAGATATCTGCTAGTCAGCGTTTTCCAGGCTTGTTCACTGTCTGACAGAGTTCCTTGTTGCTTATCCTTCTTGACCGGTCATCTGATAGTCTGATTCATGTAAGCGAAATAAGTTGTTGAAGAGAGGCTTCTAAATAATTTTTGAAATGGTTTTGGTGATTCGTCCACAGGGTCTCTGAACCACAGACAAGCAGCGACTTAATCTAAAGGTTGAAATTTGGATATTGTCCCTAGCTCTAGATAAATGCTGTAGATTTCCACACTTATTCCAAATTTACAGATGCCTATCATGCCTCCCAGCCAGGACTCGCTGTCTTTAACGTCCTCATCCATGCCTCCTGCTTGTTGTTAAAACGATATTTTCAGGGTAGGTCAAAGGGGCGACTGCATTAAAGTTTTTCGTATTGGTGGCAGTTAATGTTTCTTGTTGTTGATTGGTCTGTTTGATCACCTGCATCTTCTTTATGTTCCCTCGATGTCATGTCTTCACTATCTTTTCTGCAAACAAGCTGAATGCTGCTGGTAAACATTAAACCCTGTGCAAAATGAGACACGAAACACCGGTGAAATGCAAACTCTGTTAGGTAATTTCTTGAGTTCACGATATGTTCGCCTTCTCACCACCCACGGTCTGTGGAATTGTGATTTTGTCTAAATTAACATTCTACATCTTGATAATTATAATGCCTTAGTAATTCTTTTCTCAAGAGTTGAACATTTTCACTATTCTCTTATTTCTGTGCCTCTAATTTCACAGGTATTCACACAATCACAAGTCACTTCTCAAGAGGGACACATCAGAGGTAAGTGACATACATTCTCCAATCATATACAAACCTCGCTTCATCTAGACTAATCCATGGTTGGAGGTCTCACAAACAGGTGGGAAAATATATCAGAAGATATATGAGAAAGTGTATGCTTATTTTAAAGAAGATGAATTGGGAAACAAAATTGGAGTTGCCGTTTCAATTTGTGAGTGATCGTTTTCTCATTTACACTTATGCCTAACTGCCACCTTCTCTCTCTTTGCAATTCTTGCTTTGCAGTACTCAAACGCTTTTACAAACGCATCGAATAGTTCATTGCGTCGGTTCTTCCCGTCACGATGGAATTCAATCTGAGGATGGATGTTAGTGACTGATTGAATTTCCTTTCACATAAAAATCAATTGACTTTATGTAATTTTTCAATAGTAATAAAAATGTCTTTATTTCAAACGGTTATTTTGCTATAGATATGGAATTTTTGGGCTGTAGTAGATAGAGTACTTAGGTGATGATGAGAACAGGGCATTTTCATTGGTAATATTGATCCCTAAGAATATGAATATGAAATTAAATTGAGTGGAAATATTACCAACAGTATAAGAATAGAAACGCATAAGGCCGTTTATCTTGAGTCAAGTCATTAGATGTTAATGTGCTGGCTTACACTTGTCTCATCAATTAAAATGCGAGTATGCGAAATAAGGCATCGCAGTTTTCATAATTAGTCGACTGAGTGTAATGTCTGCTATAGTTGCTCCTAGTTCAACCTGGTGAGATAGATGCAAGGAGAGAGTTTTGCATTGAGAGGATTCTCAGAGACCGACAAGATGGTATTCCTTAGTTTCGTGCTTGATTTCATGTGTCTATTTACAACAGTTTAACATGTTGATTTTCGACATTCCACTCGCTCTACCTAGGGCTTTTATTGCTTTCTCGTTATATCGAAGTATTTCTGAAATAGTCGAGGAAGGATTAAGGCGGCAGTGGTGGGGTGAGTGAAGGAGAATAGGCAGATTGCAATAATTAGCAAACATTCGAAGTAGAGACTGAGTGATTCCAGATGATGTTAACTTCTTTACGTAGAATTTTAGACGAGTTATCTCTCTGGAAACTAAAATGATGTGGGAAGATCAGGAAAGTTCACAGGAAATACGCAGCAGAGATATTGAACATTCGACTTTTGTTCAAATTCAGTATCATCTGTGATAGAGGAATCATGGAAACGCGCCAGTTCATGACGGTTGATTTCGTTTGTGAAAGTGAAGTGAACAAGCTGATATTTGAGGCATTTATACTGAAATCATGTAATAAGAAGAACCACTTACTGATTTCAAACAATAAGTTGATCATTTTGGAGAAATCTTAATGAGAAGTAACTAACGTGGAAGCTGTTAGATCAATGGCAAACTTAGCGAAACTGCGTTCATCAGAATGAGGTAAATGATGCAAGAAGGAAGAAGACTGTGAAGGAGACGAAACAGTTCTTTGAGGAACAGCAACTGAAGTATGTGAATCAGTGGATAACTTTTCGTTGTAAACAGTGTGCCACTTCCTATCAGAAAAGTGGAAATTGAGTCACTTATTAGTCGAGCACCCTACTTGTGTCACAGCAAGTTTGTTTAGTAAAATAGGCCTAGATATATTGTCAGATACAGATGTGTAATCTGGGAAGGCACAATGAACATATTTGTCACCTTTGTCTAAATTAGAAACAGTGTTATGATGTTGGACGACATTGGTGACTAACATACACCTATCATGTTCATACTTTCCTAAGCCTAGTAGTGGCTAGTTTGGGAATCGAATGGAATGAAATTAAAGACAATGAGGATTACTGATGATAGTTGCATACAATATGGGGAAGGGAATTTGAAATGTTATTATCGGGTAGAAAGACCCTATGCATCAAACCGACGATAGTAAGACTGAGGCAAGTGGTTACTTGTGCAGTAGTAGTATGCAATATAACTGATGCGTAGTCATCCAAAAAGGAAAAAACTAATATCGCAAACAGAATATTGGACTAATTTTTCAGTGCTCTACGTAACATTTCGGTACCGTTTGAAGAATCCTAGAGTGAATAGTATAGATAATGAAGTGATGTGACGGAAACTGTTTGGAAGAAGAGGAAAGGAATGAAAGTGAAGGAAAATACATGAGGAAGGGAAATAATAATAAGGCTGTACTATTTTTGAATCCATTTTCTGCTAGTGTAGGAATAACGTCTGAACATTTTCCTCTGAAGACATACTTCTTGTTTAGTCGACTTTATCGCGACGGATATATGTAGAATGTAGGCGGTCTCTTCATGACAGAGACTTAGGAGTGTGGTATATAGCCCTAAATGTTTTATTAGAATCTGTGTGTTTGTGTGTAAAAGCACTGAAATTTTCATGTATTCAACTGCAGGCTTTGTGAAATAGGTTGGTAAATGTTTTCCAACCCGTAGATGAAGCTCCCTGATCGAACGCCTTATGAAACCTGAACCATGGTAACAGTAAGTGTATGAAGAGAATCTGATAGTAGAGAAATCCTCTAACAGTTTCGGGTGCACAATTGTATGGTTTCTGAAAGATAGAAAGAGATGTACAGAGTAGAATGTCCTATTCATTCGGGTGGGTGGAGTCATGAATAGAATCCCTTCATGTATAGATATCAAAATATTCGCTTTTCATTAAACTACGTTACTGGTTTATGTCTGTGACTGTCATAAGTTCTCTTGGTTTGCAGTGTCTTCACCAGATATCCATTTTTCGTTACACAATTACATATGCATCTGATTTGAAAGATTCTGCAGAGAGGCGATTTTCCAGAAACTCCGTCCATTTATTCGCCTTGATGAATTTGAATTAAGCAAGAACAACAGTGATTTGTGCAGCTAATTGCGCTTATATAGATTTTACAAAGGCAGTTCAAGTTTAAACAAAATAAATGTATACATACAATGATAAAAGAGTTATGTAATAAAGAAGAGAGATGCGTAAGAAGCTGAGTGACGGCCAAGTTAAACTTTAAGCAGCACAAACTACCAATCAGCGAACGACGTGGAATGCTTCAATGAGGTTGATGCAAGTAAATTTAAGTTTGTATAGCGCTTGATTCGTTTCAAATGCGTACTGTAACAAACTAACGCTTGCAGTTCGATGAGGATAAGATTTTGCAATATAGTCTGGATTTGAGGTTGCTTAGGAAGGAGATGATTTGTTCATGTGATGGTGTCATGAGTTTAGAAAGCTTTAGCAGGTCGATTGATGGATATGTCCATCGTTGTGCAATTTGCTTGAGACGAGTTAGTCTTAGGGAAGGTAAGCTGATAATTTTAATATTTCGCAGGAACATTGTTTGCTAGGTCGCATCTCTCCCTAACCCAGATTTCGTATATTTGTAACTACTGGGTTTTAAAACAGCCTGTGAGAGGCACAGCTGCTGAAACCAAAAATAGCCTCGTGTCAACAGTCCAGTGGTACGAGCACTGCAGAGACATCGCATCATGGAAAATGGAGAGAATTACTTCGTTGTTGTACGGAGAAGGCATCGTCATGCATGTGGGCGAAACTGTGTTACTGAAGAAAAAATACAACCGTGGTCGTGAGCGAGCCAACAATGTTCGGGTGATTGGTTTATATGACACCTCCCTACGGAAAGGATTCGTGAGAGAATACCAGATTGAAAGTCAACTACTTTATATCTGTTATAACTAGACTTGTGAAACAGGGATCCATAGTACGTACTGATGAATGAGAAGGTTATAACTCGCTGTCATCTCTTGGATATATTCATCACAGAGTGAACCATTCAAGTGATTTTGTGGATCCCATTACGGGGACACACACAAATTCTATAGAAGGCTTTTGTGGAAGATTGAAAAATAGGATCAGGGCTATAAATAAATCTCAAAAGGATCTCATTTATAGTCATTTGGCTGCATATATGTACAGAATGTGGTGTGACTTTTCTATTGACACTCCTATGCTAAACTGGGAGATGTTTCTATAACATGTTAGGGAAAGATACCCTATGTAACAGTTTTATGCAGTTTGCATGCTTTTCTTCCATAAATATACGTTTTCCTTTATCAAAAATCCCTCTTTCATGTGACTGGTCTGTTGAAGGTCGTTCGCTGATTGGTAGTTAGAGGTGTTTAAAGTTTAACTTTGCCTGAGTGACTAATAAATTAGGTAGTAATGTACTGAGTTCAACTCAAATCATAGAAAGAAGAGACAAGCAAAATTACGCTATGTCAAAGGGGTGAGGTTAAAGCCAAAGATTACGTAATCAAATGAAAGAAGAAATGAAGATATCCAGTTACCAGGGCAAGCAAAAACCAATAACGGCTTCTTTCTGAACACATAAGTCTGGTTTCAAGCGTTGAATAGAAATCGCTACGAAAAACTTGAGGAAAATATAACTCTTTTGTCTATTGATAATTTCAAAGGATTTCGCGATTTCCACCTCAATACCCGTATCGACGAGATGTCTGGTAATAGCGCTATATAAGCACAATGTTCTGAGCACTGTTCACTCATTGCAGAACATTTTGCCAGCCAACATCATGAAAAATTTGCAAGTATGTTAAGACTTTCATGTAAATAAACTTCATAATTTATTTAGGCTGTAAGCAGCTGATGAGAAGCCAGCGAAATACACAATGATGGTACCATATTATTCTGCATAAGCCACAGATATTCACATATATGCAGTGGCTGATGTGGCTTTAATTCTACACACCTCTTTGTCCATGAGTTGCTTATTCATCCGTCAACTCTTCTGTGGGGATGAAAAGTATAGTGAGTGAGTTTAGTGTAAATTTGTGCAGTCGTGGATGTGTGACGTCTGTGAATTGATGTGAGTAATTTGAATAATTTGTTTGAAGAGGATAAGATTCTTTGTTAGCGTATTTTGTGTGTGCGTGTGTATGTGTGAGTAGTGTATCTGTTGGCCTGTATATCTAGGATGGTCTCGTCGTTGGATCTTCAGGCCTCAACGAAGACATTCACGTTTCGACTCTTCGAGCTTGTAGTGCTTCCATCTCTCCAGCCTTCAGACACACTTTATGCACAAACTGCACTGTAATACCCTGTAAACACCATGTGTGAAATGTTAAATGCATTGTGCATGGCACCACATTCTGAGTTTGACTCCATCGTACAAGCGAGAAGACAAGACTCTCCCACTACCTTTTTATCAGTCATTGGGACGAAATGTTTCAAACTAGCACATCCACAGCTCACTCACACCCCTGACTACCGATCTTCTCTAAATCAGCCATCCAACACTGTCATGAATATCACAGATTGTACTGGAGTGAGAGTTTAGCTATAATAAAGCAATCAATGCTCACTAACAATTGATTTGATGTTATTTAAACATTAATGTCGTTCATAAGACTAATTCATTCATTCATTATAATGTATATATAATTGTAGAACCTGATAATGAATTTATCGAAAAGAGTACTCTTTGTTCCGTGTCCATTCTTTTGAAAATTTCGGATGAGTCAATCAACACTGGCAATCAAGAGGAGGCATTTCACCCATTTTCTGATTACGAGATTTCAGTTTACTGATACCTGTCCTAGTCAACTGAGTATGGTCGTCATTCACGACTACCACTAATTATTGATTATTCCATTGACTCGGAAATTATCTGTTTTCTTTTACATTGCTAGGAAGACTGAGCAAATCGTGCAATTTGGAATCGATTATGAGAAAATAGGTCGAGTGTAATCCACTCTGTTGACTGTTGTTAATATGACAATGTCCATTTACATCGCAAAGTTTGCTAATTCCACCAATGAATTGTCATTAGAAGGGAATTTCAATGAAGAGTGATGCTAGTCCTGTTAGCAGAATGTTACATGACACTGTTTGTAAAGAGTAGGCTGACGGCAGTCACGTGATAAAGTCGCGAATGCCCGCTAGCCGGCGGTGAGTGATACGAACACTGTAAGGCGACCATGTTCGTTTTCGGGTGGAGCTGAACAGTTCTGTATGCGATTAGACTGAACGCATACAGTCAGAGCAGTTGAAACTATATAATATTTGAATAAAGACTTCCAATGGAAATACTAATGAATTCTGACCTCGGACTGAGTAATGTGTGAATGACGAATGTGATTCTACTATGCACTGTTACATTGAATATTCCCGAAATCCATGCATTCCGTAATTATCATTGAAAAGAACTATATATTAATGTTCTGTTTCGCCTCAGTATGCGATGACGGAAATTGACACATAGGTTAGTTTTCAGGCCGATAGATTAACTTCTTACTAAGACTTTAATTCAGTAAAATACTGCCAATGTCTGGTAGAAATCAACGGAGAATATTTTCACTAAACTCAAATAAATGATGCAGATTCGAAGCGAATCGAAATTCGATGAATACAATGACTGATCAACAGGGAGTTGCAAGAATATTTCCAAATGGAGCAGATGCATTCACTCTCTGTGATCTCCCAACCCCATGATTCTCCATGGAATTATTCCTTCTCCCTCTCATCTCTGCCCAGAATAACACCCGCCTGATTTCACCACATTTTATTGCTATGTGGAGTGTAGCTGCCTCAAGTCTGGATATAGTCATTTTCGTGTGCCCAGTTCTCAGTATTGCTGCTGAATGGAAACCTACAGCAGTAAAAACATGCACACACACACGAACTGGAGTTTGAACCCAGTAGCTTCCGGTTATAAGGCGGGGTTGTTGACCATTCAGCTAAGATGAAACAGCTTTCAGTATGCCCGGCTTTTCTAGTAGTCATCTGACTAATGTCAACTCGTCATAAAACCTGTGGTCAATCAAATCCGTGCAAACCAACAGTTGATGACTTCTATCAGTACACTCCATTCATTTCGCCGGTGTGCCCGTAGATCTCCTTAATGTGGAAAGAAGAATGATGAAGTTACAGGCTACACTCCACACTGTTTCTTGTCACGTTTCCAATGACGGACATGACCTACGTATCACAGCTGGTTACCTGACTACTAAACACTACTTTCACATTGCCTTATTATCTCACTACTGACTGACAATTTCACGTATATGTCAATTGGTTTTTCGCATATAATACAGATGACACACTTCAGTGAAAATCTAATTGACTGAAATCGCCAAATCTCTCTCTCGATTGCCTTGCTAGTAACAAATATCACAACGGAGTAGTAGGGAGAATCCCATCATCCGATATCACCGATAAAGTTACACAAGTGAGTGAATCCCATTCTAACACAAATTCAACACGTTGTATTGTAAGTCAAGGAGAACGAATTCACAGTGTTCAAAAGGCGAAATTTATTAGGTATGAAAAGTGACTGACTACATTGGAAATAACCTGTTTGGGTGAAGACATCAGAATATATCACTTAATTAACTGGCGTACGGATCTCTTCATCTATTCGATCATGTTCCACTCGCCCAGTTGACAGTGATGAGTACGGCTAATTATGAGCAAAGCTTCTCACTTCGATTCTTCAAACGCTTCGTAACTGAAAAAGAAGTACAAATTTTGGTGGATATTAGAATATGCATAGAACAGAGTTAGACAATTATATCATGGACATTACAGTGTGAGAAAAAAAGATTGAGGGGAAGTCATGCGTGTGCTCGAGGCATAAATACGAACAACGATTCATAAAGCGATATGGAGGACAGAATTCACATCGATTTGATTTGGGAGATGGATCTACATCCTACCGGCCCTTCTGGGAACACTTTTGCAAAACACAATGACAGAATTATTGCATCACATTTACACTGCAACTTCATGATGTGGCGGATTCAAAACATTCAATGAAACTTACTGATGGCAAGAACATTTTTCAACGCATCACCCAATCCATCCTCTTTGAAATAATTCGATACCACACCATTCGACTTCGCTAAACACTTTCTCAGATTATCCTGAATCGCAAATGCATCAGCAATCTAAGGAGATGTTTGTGAGAACACATGTACTCAGGTGACTTACCAGTTGTAGATTTTCTGTTTTATCTGGTGCAGCTCTGAAAGAAATGAAAAGAAGCAGGGAGGTAGAAATGGATTGAATCTACTGACAGACATAAGTGAAGTTCATCTAGCATAATGAAATACAGCAGTGCGCGTGAATGTACAACATCCACATCCTATCGTCGCTTCAATAACATGTAGCTTAAAGGAATCATACTCATCATGATGTGCAGTCACCAGTGTAAATCAACGAATTTCCGGTCACTGTACACCCAGATGAACTTCTTTGATTGAGAACATGTGGCGTAATACATGGAACACATTGTGTACATAACAATGAGAAAATAAATGCGATGGGAAAGTGGAGTACACAAAACATGTAGTCAACTGATTCATGAAGTGGATTTGTTTGAAACAACATCATTGTTTCGAATGTGTTCAACAAAAGAGGTAGGGTGAAATAGAGAATGAAACCACCTGATTAACATTTGCTGCATGCTTCCAGAAATACACACAAGAGTATAAAAACACCAGCTTAAATATTTATCAAAAAGCATATACGAAAATAACATGTAAACAGAATGTGATTGTGATTACTGACACAGAATTTCTCAATCACCAGTCAAATCCTGTGCAAACTGTTAACAGTAATAACTCACTCATTTGACACGGCGAGGAAGCAGATAGTGAGTGAAACAACGAGAACCAGTTTCATTTTAATCCGACGTGATTTCAACACTAATGAGATGGATAAATTCGCATCTTTTATAGATTTTCACGGGTGCATTCTGTCCATTCAACGTTGATTTGTATTGAAAAGGAGTGTGAGTGTGTGTTTTTGCATCTGTGTGTTTATCACTGTCATTCGTTTCATTGGCTGTCACAATGAACCTTTGTGATGTTAGTTGAATTTTCTTATTTTCGTGAACACCATGATTACAGAGTAATTGGATGAATACTTATGTGTGTCTGGAGAGACGAAGTAATTTTCTGTATTTCAAGTATTCATATCGTACACTGTGACTTTCGCCTTCAGTGAGGTGCCTAGATAACTTGGAAATCGTATTCGACAGTTCATTTGCTATTGGGAATGACTTATTCGGATAATTTATCATCGGTGTGATGGGTAGTCTCCGATATCCATGCTGAAAATTCCACACTTGTACTGAAAATACGGTGTGGAATCAAGCTGTAAATCGAAATAAAATAAATATGTCAGTGTCGATGTATGATTGATTGACTGATCATTCATTTTGTGTCGCCGATGAGAAATGTGAAGGAGATCACTTCCTTCGCTCATCTGTGCAGCAAGGCATTTCGAACAGGCAGCTGCGTTCAAATATCAACAGATGCCACCTTCTCTGGCTGTACAATGAAGGCTGAATCGCCTGCCAGAAAGAATTAGCAGCCAAACACTCTGGGAACGAGCCAACCAAGAATCTGACGTTCCAAAAATATTTCAAAGCAAATAGTGATGCATCAGACACACACTGAGGAAACCTCCAGTGACATCATCCTCCATGCAGTCCATCGCTCGAGTGGAAGTCGAATGGGAAACTTAGAGTTAGTCGTGGATCCGAGAGTAACATGGAGAAGATAGTGCGAACAGGAGATGAGATGGCATGGGCATTCGTTTGGCCAACTGAAGGGAAGCGCAGAGAAGAAGAAACAGTGGAGGTGTTCTGTTGAGGCTGTATGTTCCACTCGGAGGCCAAGGGAAGAATAATAAATTGGTAAAACAGAAATGCTCTGCTGATGAGTTTGTGAGATGAACAGCTTTGCAAGTGACTCTGATGATAGGAAGGCTGATTACTTCCCGGGGTTAGACATTGCCATTTAGAAAATTGAGCTCCGTAGAACATGAATTCCTACTTGAATCATGCTGAATGTATCATATTTGTAAGCTATATCAATAATGTTGAGTGAATCTTGAAGGCGTGAAGTGACTCAACAAACAGTGTGCATTTTTTGAACAAGTTGTGCATCAACGATGCACTGAGGGAATGTCCTTCACCGACTCAAGGTGAATGAGTTGAATCCCTTCAATCGACACACACCCAAAGCCAAGGGTTTACTGACTAGTTGTAGACTCGGTAAAAATGAGCGGTGATGCGTGAGACTCTTATCACTGTGGATGCCACACATCCACCATAAGTGAACTTTCGCTGCACCAAGCACTCGGTTCCACTCGGAACACATGGAGTGAAAATAATATGGAGTTGAGTGGCAAATGATGAGATGCAGTTTTGTCGAAAGCCTACATGTAATGTCTGTATTCGTATCTTGAATGATTTCAGCGAAATTATATCTCATGTGAGCAATGCCTTGCGAAGCAAACGCTTATTGTCACTGAACATAGGATCAAGGCGTGTGTTCATTAGACCTTATTTATTCACAAATAGTCAGCACCAACGCACAAATGACACGCGGAATTGTGAAGCGTTCCAAGTTATTCACAACCGAATCTAGTAACACGGTGTACAGAATCAAATTGAAATCATCCATATGAGCTGAATGTCCTCTCTATTATTTCGAAATACTGACACTCACCTGTATGTTGCGACTAACTTTGTTACCACTATCCGTTTATCTCCAGGACTGTGCGTCATTGTTCTGATATTTGCATATCACATATAGAACTGCTTGCTTAATATCAAATGGCAATGCTTCTATTCCTGGTTTTATGATGCAATGTAGTGTGGTGTTTTACGATGTGATTTCGTCTGAGTTAATCAAACTGGTGCTGACCTCCGACTGTCTGTGGTGTAAGAGTACTCTGGATAGAGTTTTGATTCCACCATCTTGGTTATATTCTACTTTTATAGCTGCCAACGGCAACATTGAGGTAAATTTGAGTATTTTGTTGTATTATAATTAAGCAGAACTGAGCCGTGTACTACTGATAAGAACTTTCAGTAGTATATAGGGAGAAGTTAGTTGGCACAAAACATAAAATAGCAGGGAGTTAGATTTGAAGTCAGAGGAAGCAAATGATTCAGACTTGCGGAGAATCTTTGTAGACGTGGAAGGAAAATAGTGAAACACAATATGAATGAGGGGCATAAGTAGCACAACACGGAAGATCTGCGCAGAGGGTGATTTGAAGATGAGGTGTACATAATTTCACTAAATAGCGATACCAGATTCTAAACAGACGTCACATTACAAAGTCTCTCTTCGTCTACCGTTACAGAAGCACATAGATGTATCAACGGATACACCCCTGTTTTTCTGACTTCGGAGTGTTTTGCGACTTTGCATCTCTCAATGAAGTTTCGATCAGCTTTGCAGTAGGACGCGGAAATTTGTTTCTGCTTTTAGACGACAACTAGTTGGTTTTGGTAGTTACAGTTAGTTGGCAGTCCGATTGAAACCATCTGCATTATAATGTACTGATAAATTTGAGATGGGGATATATTGGTTGCCAACTTAGACGAATCTTTCACCAATAATGAACTGTGTTAAGTGGTTCGAGTCAGTCGGTAAGTAGTCACGTGTCCATTTAAGTTTCGCTATTATTGCCATCCACCAGAAACTCACGTGTGCAGACATATGAGAGAAGCTCTCCTCCTCACAAGGATTTGAAAGCACGTCAACAATTCTCTCCAAGGGAAGACATTATCAGTGAGGTATGTGGGCTGTGATAGATCTTCTGCAGGTCTGTGATGAATACACTGCTCAGTCACTATAGCTTCATCGATTTCACGCTGTCGGGTGTTCAGTGCTGACTGAATTTCATCAGTTCAGTTTTCGTAAATGTTTGACGAAGGAGGGATGTAATACTTCAAAGACCTATTAGAAAAGTGTCTCGACCAACTTGATAGAAATCTGATATCGTGTTGATCAGGATATTTCAGATACAACCCAGTTTGGAGACCACTGAGAGAAATTGTTTTGAGTCTCACCGTTGACTGTCTTCTTATTTCGACACACATCATGCCACTGAGATTTGCCAGGCTTCTTGGATAAAAGAATAAACGAGGACACAAATACTGAGAATCAATTGTTAACAGCAACACAACTGGTCTGATTCTATGTAGAATATGAGCAGTTGCATGAAAACGCAAGTGACTAGCATGTGCTGTCAGTGACGGGGAACGAAACTGCAAATTGAAACTTTAAATTGAAGTATGCGCTGAAGATGTCACCCAGTAGGGTGATGAAAGCTTTGCAAATTAACTATCCAGCTCAGAGAACACAACCACATCAAAACTGCCATCTGTTTGATCCACTGATGTATTTGGACGGTGGAAAGATTAATTGTGTTACGTAATATAACAACGCTGAAGATAGGGAATCTGAGAAACTATCTCTGTGAATTGAAGTGTGTCTTGCATTTCAGAACTTCTATCTTCAAACGATATCGAGGGCATATAAACAATTCAGTGTGATGTAGGATTGAAAAGGATCTTGAAATGAAGGCATCTTGTGACAACTGTACGTGCTGAAATTACTCATATGGGATTCAGAATCAACTTCTTGCTCTGCGCAATGTATTGTGGACTGACAGCCTAACGGAATTTATTTTCTCTGTCTCTATTCACAAAGTATGAATTATTTTTCTGATCATCACGAGCTACTGTGGACAGGACTCAACTATATCTCACACATTGCTTATACAATTTCTATTTCGCTCACCGGTGAACATATGAAGCTTAATGAGAAGCACATTATCCGAAATACTGTAGAGGGGAGTGTGGAATGAAACTCATAGTCGGTGCTTTTCTTGTGGTAGTTAGTTCAATATTAGTGAGCTCCACAATTGGAAAGCTGATGGGTGAGGCTTTAGTCATTTGAAAAGCATGACTATGAAGGCAACCGACTTTCTGTGCAGGACTTATTGTATTTATTTTATTTTATTCCTCTGTGTTCCCAGTGTAACTTAGCGCTTCAAGCTACAGGCTTGTGGTTTTGGTAGCAGTGGTATTTATTTTTGTGCGATGATGCTGATAGCCTCATGCTCAACCTCCTTTCTCGACTAATCTTATAACTGCCTTAGTGAGGTAAAGGAGTGCGTCGACCACATACGCACATATGGAGGAGTAATATTACTAGTCTCAGTCGCCCATCCACTAGCGAGTGGAACAAACGACCTGAGTATCACATCTTACTTCCGATAGACTGTCTGTCATTTTCCTAAACGCCTCTCATGACTAACAACAGATTTTCATGTCCTCATCGCGTGATCTCCTTGATGTTACCTACGGAGAAACACTTACATTGTCGCCTCATATTTGGGCTCCACTCGACAGCCCACCTGGAATATGATATCACATGAATGTTTCGTTGGCGTCTTTCCAATCCAGCTGCATTTCTTTCTGCATATTTGTTCGCCAGTGTGTTCTTGACTGGATCACTGCCTCACATAGTTTCTGGATGCTTGGTACATATTTTTTCTGTTCACTTATTTGATCATCAGTACTGAGTGAAGGCGTGCTGATGTAAGACAGCAGTATGTGATTCTATGTGGAAAACACCATAGAAGGAAATTCCATTTTCATTTTAGTGAAAGTCTATTCCAGTGTGTCCAAGAGCTCGTTTGATGCAGATGTTGTTCAGATGAATTGTTTCCAGAGACGTGTAAAGTGTATATTAGTAAGTGTAACTGTAAGTGCAGCATTCGGTGAACGATTGAAGATGCGGACGTAATGATAAAATGAAATACAAGACAGTGACAGAGAAATCGTCGTCCTTTTTAACTACGAAAGCCGACTTGTTGAGGTATGGATGC